TAAACATGTAGAAAAAATTAGAAACTAAGAACCAGATAAAAGTTCGAGTGACAAAACTTGAAATTATGATGGCCTTATTTATTTTGTTGGTTTGTTTACATACATGTAATATGTACAATGTACATAATATTTTACTGTTTCTCTACTTTTCAGGGATTGATTTAACTTTTCATAGCCAATATACTTCATTACACTTTCTCCTGTTCATTTCAGTTGATGTAGAACATTCTCATGTGCGTTTCCTTGGTAACCTGGTGTTAAATTTATGGGATTGTGGAGGGTGAGTCAATTAACTTTATCTGAAATTAAAGACAGCAAAATATATCACAGAGGACATAGTCATGGTTTAAAACTGGGGTAGATTCGTGCTAAACTTCAGAGTCATGAACTGAATTGAAATGGAATTTTACATCTGACTTCTCTGGACCTGTTTATAACGCCATACATTGTGCAATAAATGACAGGACAGCAGTATATAGTCCCAACCAAGTGACAAGACACTTTTTTCATGAGCGTCTCTTAACCTGTCCAAATGCTATGAGAGGACAGATAGAGTGGTTACATAGGCCAAAACCTGTTCCCCAAACCTTTTAATATGTATATAAATAAAATTGAAACGTTGCAAAATTAAATTAAAGGAGTAGTATATCCATAATAGTTGTCCTTGCTGAAATAAAATATTGTTTTGAAAAAAAAAAACTACTATGAAAGTCTATTTTTCAGACAAGAAGCGTTTATGGAGAACTACTTTGCGAGTCAGAGAGATAATATATTTAGAAATGTCGAGGTGCTGATATATGTATTTGATGTAGAAAGCCGAGAATTAGAAAAAGACATGCATTATTATCAATCCTGTTTAGAAGCCATTTTAGAAAATTCTCCTGATGCCAAGGTGTTTTCTTTGATACATAAAATGGATTTAGTTCAGGACGATCAACGTGAAAGGGTTTGTTATTTACTATTGTATAATATTAAATATTGTTATGTATATCAAACTATGCCAAGGTGTTTTCTTTGATACATAAAATGGATTTAGTTCAGGACGATCAACGTGAAAGGGTTTGTTATTTACTATTGTATGATATTTAATATTGCTATGTATAATATGTATATCCCCCAATGAAATATTAAATATTGTTATGTATATCAAACTGCTTATGAGGACATTTGCTCGAAGGGGTTAGTAGTTTTTCTTGTATTCTTTTTACTCCAATGAAACTGAGCAGAGTGCTGTAGTGAAAACCAATAGGTACATTGAGTGTGGTTCCACCATTGTATGGCCAACTGTGAAAATAGTATATTCACTAGTAAATATAACAATTTCATTGTATGTTGCCCTGTAGATTTGTCTGTGTTAGAATGTCATTGTGATCAAGGCTACTCATAGCAATCGATGCGTGTGAGAGTCTGGTAACCTGAATAAGTCATCTTTCTTCCAGTCGAAACCTTTAGAAAAATATCAATGCCTATAGGAATGACAAGTATAAAAAAAACCTTGATAATTTAGGATATTATTCTTGAAAAGCCATTGTTAAGAGATCAGCTGGTAGAGAGGATTCTAGTAAACCAAGTTGTTATCCTTGTAAAATCATGTCCAAGTACCAGTTGGTAGAAAAGATCCTGGAAAGCCAAGTTATCCTTTGGATATAAGTTGTTTTGTTCTTTCTTTTAACCAATGACAATGTTTGTTACAGATATTTAAAGAGCGAGAGGAAGATTTGAAGAGACTGTCGAAACCGTTGGAATGTACTTGTTTCGCTACTCTATCTGA